TTACACAAAGAAACCCTGTCTCGAATTCCACTCCGCTCCCCCACCCCTCCCCCCCAAAAAGGGAAAGGTGAGAGAACTCCTGAAATGTAGGTTTTATGCCATGGGGGAAAGTTCTGGAAGATTCAAGTTCGTGGAACTCTACTTGGTGACTAGAGGTTGGATTGCAGCCGTGTGGGAGTGCTGAGGTGGTTCCGATCTGTAGGCCAGACTGGCCTCTAACTCCCTGAGATCTGCCGGTCTCTGCCTCCTGAACGCTGGGATTAAAGGTGTGGCCACCACTGTCCATCCTGTTACAGCCTTTACAGTTAAGTAAAAACCAAACACCTCTGGGTCTCTACCCGAGTACTGATGTGAATACTCTTTTTTAATATTTCCAGTTAAATAATTAAAATAGTAATAACAATTGGGGCTAGAGAGATGGCTCAGTGGTTAAGAACACTTGTTGCTATTGCAGGGAACTGAGGTTCAGTTTGCAGCACCCACATGGCAACCCGCAACTCCAGTTCCAGGAGATCTGATGCCCTCTTCTGACCTCTGAGCATCAGGCACTCACATGGTATACTTACACACATGAGGAAAAACACTAATACACATGGAATGAATAAATCTGAAAAACTAACAATGAAAGTTTCTGACTGTACCTGGGGTATTTTTTAGACATACAACGGATGTATTTATTAGCTCACGGAAACTTAATTCACTTAGCATATAATTCCAGACTATTTATTTATAGACAAAGTCTTACAATGCAGTGAAGGCTGCGCTAGCCTAGTACTCAGTAATAGCTCAGGTTAGGCTCTGATTTATTATTCTTCTGCTTTAACCTTCAGTAGTGCAGAAATGACAAGCATATGCCAACACACCTGGCACCAATGTAATGTCTGTCTGCTTGTAGGAACAGTGTCTCACTCTGTAGGTCAAGCTGTCCCAGAACTCTATAGTCCAGGCTGGCCTCAAAATCCTCTGCTTCAGCCTCTCTAGCTCAGGGAATGTGGTGAGTGAGCCGTGCCATCCATTTTAATTTTCTTAATCTATTTTGACATAGGGTCTCCCAATATCACTTGGGCAGATCTTGAACTTACTATACAGTTCAGCCTACATGAATTGTATAGTATACAGACCATGAACTACAACTCCCCATGCCCCTACCTCTCAAATGCTTGGATTACAACTATACAACTCTACTCTACTGTATAAGGTACTGGGGATCAAACCCATCATGCCCATACATGACAGACAAGTGTGCTATCAACTGAACTATGTCTCCATCCCATCCCTTTTAATCCTGATGGAGTGGAAACACAGTGTAGACCTCTGTCAGCCCTGGAGAGTTGGCTCTTGGATGATTCCCACTTAGAATATGGGGGATGATATCTGGAACATCACATCTTTTTGCCAAGCGTGGCATGGGTGTGCGACAATTGTCTGCATTCTGTCAATTATATTTTAAATAAACACTGATTGGTCAGTAGCCAGGCAGGAAGTATAGGCAGGACAACCAGACAGGAAGTAGAGGTGGGTCAAGGAGAACAGGAGAATTCTGGAAAGAGGAAAGCTTGGTCCAAAGTCGTGACCCATCCACAGAAGAAGTAAGATGTGACTGCCTCACTGAATAAGTTACCAAGCCATGTGGATAGCATAGACAAGAATAATGGGCTATTATATGATATAAGAGTTAATAAGAAGCCTGAGCTAATGGGCCAATAAGTTTATAACTAATGTAGACCCCTGTGTGATTTCTTTGGGACTTAATGATTGTAGGAACTGGGCAGGACAGAAAACTCAGCCAACAGTGGCAGACTCTTAGTCTTCACCCTGAACACCAAATATTTAGGAAAGTCCAAGTTGGGGAAAATATAACTATTTGAATAGGAAGTAAAATGAGAACTGGGCACACCTTTAATCCCAGCACTTGGAAGGCAGAGACAGGTGGGTCTCTGGAGTGTGAGGCTAATTATATCTATAATGCAAGTTCTTCTGAGAGCTGATGGTAGCAGTGGCTTTACTGGAGGCTACTGAGAATGTACAGCAAATGATAATTAATAGTTCAGGTGTCGACCCACCATATGGCTGTGATGGAGAAAACCTTATTAAGGAAGGCTTACAACACAAACTCTGAAAACTGGCCATTTCTGTCTGTAATTTTTCTCATGTGCATACATTCCTTTCATAATAAAAGCTATGGGTATTTTCCCCACTGCTTATTAGTTTATTTCATGTATATATTTCATCTTTGGGCACACATAAAGCTGTGGATAGTCAGGAAGATGACTCCTGCTTAATTGTATATGGAGATAGAGACAGAGATCCTCAGCAGAGCAATGGACTGAGCTCCCAAGGTCCAGTTGAAAGGCAGAAGGAGGGAGAAGATGAGCAAAGAAGTTAGGACCGCAAGGGGTTGATCCACCAACTGAGGCAGTGTGCCTGTTCTAATGGGAGCTCACCAAATCCAGCTGGACTGGGTCTGAATAAGCATGCGATCAAACCGGACTCTGATTGTGGCTGACAATGGGGGCTGACTGAGAAGCCATTGATAAAGTCACTGGGACTTATTTTTACGGCATGTTCTGACTTTTTGGGACCCTAGTCTATATGGATGCACAGCTCCCTAGACCTGAATGTAGGGGGGAGGGCCTTGGACTTCTCACAGGGCAGGATCCCTGGCCTTCTCTCAAGCAGGGCAGGAGAGGGAGGAGGGGGTGTGGGAGAGCGGGAGGGGATTGGAAGGAGGGAAGGAAGTGTAAATAATTGAATGGATATTTTTCATTACTCAGACTGACATAGGAAAGTAATAATAGTCTCAGTCACAAAGACAGCTAGTTTTAGACTTTAGAACAAATTCAAAGCAAACTGGTTGCCCCTGGAGACAAACACACAAGGACACATTCCCAGGTGTTTATTGCTGATTCAAAGTCAGGCATGCAGCAACTTTGGTAGACACAAACCCCAGCAGCAATGGACTTCTGCAGTTACTCCTAACCTCAAGGTTAAGTCAACCAACTGTTGTCTAAGTCCTGAATTTCAACGTCACTTTCTTTCTGGAACTCTGACCACTTAGAGCTACATGTATGGCCAAGTCATTCACTGGCAGGTCAGTGTGACATCCCTAGTCTGAGAGAAACTGTGTGATCAGTATGGCTCTGTTTCTTATTGTTTACTCAGGAAGTGCTGTGTGATCCTGAAAATGTGATTCATGTTTGTCTAGAGGCTTTGCTGTAGGAGGAGAACTGTGTGGAGATTTGTAACTGTGTGGAGAGAAGGAAGATACAGCTGTGTAGAAAGAGATGCGACTGTGTATAGAGGTGTGTGGCTGTGCAGAGGAGAGATGCATGTAGAGAGAGATATGTAGCCATCTGTAAAGAACGTAACTGTGTGGAGATTCTCAGAAAGAGAATTTTCAAGAAATAAAAGAGGAAGTTACTACCAGAAAGCATGTGTGTTTTCTGATTTTCCCTCCACAGAGAAGAAGTGTCCCTAAGTCTCGCGGCTCTCAAGGCACTCTTTCTGCAGCTGCGGTGCATGCTGAGAACTGGCCTCCTGAGTTGCATTGAGTTCCAGGACAACCAGAGCTGTCACACAGAGAAAGCCCATCCTGAAAAACAAAAGCAAAAACCAAAACAAAACAAGACAAAAAAAAAGGGGGGGGGCTCGAAAGATGACTCTCAGGAAGCGCTGCACAATTAAACATAAGGACTTGAGTTCTATACTCAGTTCTTGAGTGTGGACACACGAGTGCCTATCATCCCAGTACTTGAGGGACAGAGACAGGAGGATTCCTGGAACCTTTTACCTTTCAGCCTACCCTAGAAAACACAAGATCCAATTCAGGGTAGCGATAAAGGACTCCCAGTACCTTTTTCTGGTCTCCACATGTGTGCACGGGCACACACATTTGCATATACTTGTTCACTTGCACATAGACACACACAAACACACAGGTCAATGGATAAGTAACTGTTGAGTGGTCTCTCCAGCTTCCAACTTGGTTTTTGAGACAATCTCTCACAGGCCTGGAGCTCACCAATTAGGCTAGACTAACTGGCTAGCTAGTCATAGGATCCTTCGGTCTCAACCTCCTGGATGCTGGGGCAACATAGGTGAACCAACATTCCTGGCTTTTTTACATGTGTCCTGGGGGTTGAACTCAGATCCTCATGATTGTTGTAGGGAGGAGGGCCCACATGTTTGTCCCAGCCACCCGGCTTGCTTAGCCCCGAAATAACCACACAGAAACTATATTAATTAAATCACTGCTTGGCCCATTAGCTCGAGTTTCTTATTGACCGATTCTTACATCTTAATTGAACCCATTTTTATTAATCTGTGTATTGCCACGTGGCAGTGGTTTACTGAGAAAGATTTAGCATGTCTGACTCTGGTGGCTCCATGGCAGCTCTCTCTCTCTACTTTCTTCCTCCCAGAAAGCAGTTCTGTCTTCTCCGCCTACCTAAGTTCTGCCCTATTGACTAGGCCAAGGCAGTTTCTTTATTCATTAACCAATGAAAGTAACACATGAACAGAAGGACCTCTTACACCACATGTTTGTCTGTTAAATACACTACTGACTGAAATATCTACCAAGCTCCTGTTTTGGCTATTTTGGAGGCAAGGTCTCAAATGACTCAGTCTGACTTTGAGTTAGTTAGCTACACACCTGAAGCTGGCTTTGAACGCCTCGCTATTCTGCCTCACTTCCCAGGTACTGGAATTACAAAGTTATACCACCATGTACAGTTTCTAAACATTTCTTTCAGAATCACAAGACCTAAAAAAATGATGACATTGTCATGCACCCAACCGAAAGGGAAGTGGATCCGCTGTGAAGGAGGAAGGGTTGGGAAGAACATTTGCAGTGCACAGAGAACACTGTGTGCTAGTCCTAAGAATTACAGCTTCGTTGCTAGTAAAATTTATTTTTATTTTTAATCTAAAATTTTATTTAAAATATATGTACACCTACCTTATTTCATTGATTTATTTATTTCTTTGAGAAAGAATCTCACTGTGTAACTCAGACTGACCTGGAACTTACTATGCTCCATGTAACCCAGACTGGCCTCAAACTTGTAGCAATCCTTCTGCTTCAGACTTCCAGAATGCCAGGGTTACATGTGTGAGTCATATTCCCAATTTATGTCCTTTTTTGTTTGTTTGTTTGTTGTGTTGTGTTGTGTTGTTTCGAGATTTTTGTTGTTGTTGTTCATTTGGTTGGTGTTTGAAAGAGAGTTTCTCTGTGTAGCCTTAATTGTCCTGGAATTTACTTTGTAGACCAAGCTGGCCTTGAACTTAGAGATCTTCCTGTTCTGCCTTCCAAGTGCTGGGACTAAGGGCATGTGCCACCACATCTGACAACTTTGACTCTTCTTTGATGCAGCACTAATAAGAAATATATGTTTGCAAATCAAAAATGGTTGAGGTCACTTATGAGGCCTGAAGACTAACTGGTTTTACCTGCTCTGAGATTCGTCAAGCCTGACACCCATATTGTTTGCTTTCTTCTTTTAGATTGTTTGGTCATGCTGGGGACTGAATTCGGGCCCTCCCACATGCTGGCCTAGCAGTCTACCTCTGAACCACACTGTGCCCTGTGCTGGGTGCCAGCTCCTTGTGAACATCAGGTATGGTAGAGCATGCCCATAATCCTTCCTCTTGGGAAACAGGAGTTGAAGGCCACGCTTGGCTACATGAAACGGTGTTTGAGAAAGAGAGAGGAGAGAGAGAGGGAGGGAGAAGGGAGACAGGAGGAAAGAAGGAGGAGAGGGGAGGGAAGGAGGAGAAAATGTCCAGGGAAGTTTCTTGTGGTTAACTTCCCAGCTGACTTGGCCAGAGAACAAGCAGGAAATAAAGGCACAGAAATGAGAATAACAGTCGTTGTTTAACAGGAGGAACCTCCCGGAGGGTGAGACTCTCAGGCAGGAAGGGTGGCTCTCACACAGTGCAGACTGGAGAAAGCCTGCTTGTCCCCAAACTCAAGGGGAAAGCTTCCCAGGGATGAAGTCACCTCCAAACAGGCCCACCCTTCTGCCACAGGACTTTAGCCCAAAGTGATCCAAGATAGAGACCTGAGAGAATAAACATTAGCCTCTCTCTCTCTCTCTCTGGTCTCAGGTGGAGTTTCAAATGGGTGGAGTGTGGAACAGGGAAGGACTCAGATTGCCCTTTGTCTCCTTCAGCAAGGTGTTTCCTTCAGAAGAAAGAAACGAGGGCTGAAGAGGAGGATCAGTGGTTAGAGCACTGTCGGCTCTGGCAGAGGACCCAGCTTCAATTCCCAGCACCCATGGGGGCTCACAACTGTGTAACTCTAGTTCCAGAGGATCTGGTGCTCTCTTCTGACTTCAAGGGTACCACACACATGCAGGCTAAACACTGATGCACACAGATGTTAGGTTCACAGACGTTTAAGGTTTTAGGTTTTACACACACACACACACACACACACACACACACACACACACACAGAAGATCTCATGTAGCCATGGCTAGCCGGATACTCACTGTGTAGCCCAGACTGCCTGTAAACTCTTGGCAATTCTTCCACCCCAGTGTCCTAATGTTGGGATTATGGGCGTGAGCCACCATCCCTGGCTTTGTTTTTTGCTTTTAAGATTGTTCTTTCTAGGGTGGGGATGAGGGACAGGGTCTCACTTTGTAGCCCAGGCTAGCCTAGAACTCACTAAATAGCTCAGGTTAGCCTTGATCTCATAGCAGTTCTCCTAATTCAGCTTTCAGAGTGCTGGGATGGCAGACCTGACAAGCTTGATGAAACATGTGTGTGTGTGTTTGCGTGTGTGTGTACGTGTGTGTGTGTGTGCATGTGTGTGTGTTTGCGTTGTGCATGTGTGTGATTTTTCCTTGCTATTGTTTGGGCGTACAGTGTGGAATGTCACGTTGTGCATATGGAGGTCACGGGACACCTTGTAAGAGTGTCATTTTTCTGCTTACCCTGAGGGTCCTAGAAATTGAACTCTGGTCATCAGACTTGGTAGCAGGAGCCTTTACCCACTGAGATGTCTCATTAGCCCTTTATTTCTTTTGTGAGGACTGCAGAGACCAGAGGAAGGGGCTGGAGTTAGAGGTGGCTGTGACCCACATGATGTGGGTCCTCTGAAAGAACAGCCAGTGCTCTTAACCACTGAGCCACCTCTCCAGCCCTACAGACATTCCTTGAGGGTTTCTCTGTGTAGCCCTGGCTGTCCTGGAACTGGCTCTGTAGACCAGGCTGACCTCAAACTCATAGAGATCCACCTGCCTCTGCTTCCCAAGTGCTAGGCTTAAAGGCATGTGCCCAATCCCCCCGCCCCCCGCCACCAAAAAAATATTGAAACCTGTGGGAAAGATTTTGCTATCTTCTAAGTTTCCAGCCTAAGAACTAATTATTCTGATTTATTAGCCCTCTGATATTACTAGCGGTCCCTTTTCTGACTAATTGCTAAAGACATATGCTTCCTTGCAATTAGTGACATTCGCTGTAATCTCCTCTGAGACATGTTTCATGATAGCTGCCAAGTTACCCATTGACGTAAGAAACCACTCCCTCTTTCCCATTGCCCTATACCTACCCTGTTTATTCCCCTAATAAACGAGACGTGATCAGAACCCTGTCCTGTCTCCATCTTCTGTGTCTTTTGTCCCTTCTAATTCTCACTCCCCGTTAGGGTCTCCGTTGACTGACCTGTGGGTCGGGGCAGAAACCATATCCTCTACCTGTCCTCTTAGAATGGTGAACTGAAGGTAAATCATAAAATCACAGTAGATGAAAAGTTTAAGAACCCAAGAGCACTTGCTGCTCTTCCAGAGTACCCACGTCAGGGGGCTCACAGCCACCTCTAACTCCAGCCCTTCCTCTGGTCTCTGCAGGCCCCTCCTAAGAGAAAAGAAATGAAGGGCTAGCGAGACAGCTCGGTCTTTCTGAGCTCTTGCTGCTCTTTCAGAGGACCTGGGTTACCAACACTCACGATGGCCTATGACTTCAATTTCAGGGGATCCAGTGCCCTCTTCTGGTCTTCCCAAGTACTAGGCACACATGTGGTGCACATACACACATGCATGCACACATTTATACACATGAAACAAAAGTAAATTAAAAGTAAATTAAAATCTAAGAAGAGAAGGAAGAGGATCCCAATTAAGTCACCACTTCCAGCCAGGTGACCTTGCAAATTACCTTTGAAAGTTTCATCTAAAGTTCAGTTACCATGTTAAAAAAAAATACGATGTGACAAGGTCAACTACTCTGCCAGGTGATTTTACGAAACACATGTGAATACATGGAAACATGAATAAAATCTAAAGAGTATTGCTGTAAAAGAATAACCCTGTTAGGAGGTGGTGGCGCATGCCTTTAATCCCAGCACTCCGGAGGCAGAGGCAGGTAGATCTCTGTGAGTTTGAGGCCAGCCTGGTCTACAGAGTGAGTTCCAGGACAGGCTCCAAAGCTAGAGAGAAAGCTTGTCTTGAAACAAACACACAAACAGTCAAACAAACAAAAGAATAACCATGTTTTGAAAGAAAGAAACAATGAGTTTGACCTGGGGCACTGCTTCATTCCTTTGAGTGCCAAGTTTCTCTGTAGGAGAGGTGATGTTAACTTTAAGGTCACAGAACACAAGGTTATGTACACAAGGTCAGTACATTTCCTGGTTGTCTAGGTGGAGCATCAGGTATCGGAGCTATTGAAGGGAACAGGCAAAAGCACCTTGGCCTAAGCACTGCCGATTTTTTGACTTTAGACTTCAATTTACTTGTACAGTGAAATAAAATTCGGGTTCCCAAGTCCTAGGGGAAAATGGCTGCCCACCTTCCTCCTTAGACAGTAGAAATAGTCTGCTATGCCCCTTAGTTCTCTAAAACACAATGGCTGTTCCAAACAAGATAAAGAACAAATGAATCTGATTGGTTGGACCGAAAAGTTCCCATTTTGAGTCAGTTGACAATGATGGAACACACAGGAAACTCCCTAATCTTTGACTTCTGATTGGTGAAATTTGTAACTGTAACTTGGGAACAAATGTTTGTGGTTTTTGTGTTTATAAATCCTGCCTCTGCCCCTGTTTGGGGCTACCAGGAAAAGTAAGGCTCCTGAGTCCTTGCTCAGCAGCCCTCAGCAAGCAGAGACCCCACTTAAGTGGGATTTATTGAAATACTTGAAATCCATAGGATCGTCTTTCTCCTTCCCTGTGGTGCACAATGGACTGGGTGTAACTTTCGGAGGTTCCCCCAAGATGCTCCATTGAGGATTGGGATCCAGACACCCCATATCGGGAGTTGGGAAATCCTCCAGAGGCCAGTAATGTTTTGGTGCCAAGGGTTATTATGGAGGCCGGACAAGACAGCACTCCCTGAGTCCGGGGAAGAGGAGGGACATCTCTCTCTTACACAGAGGTTCCCTGCTTGGTGAACCCATGTGTTGTTGTTTAATGTTGGCATGTTCCCTGGCAGGCTTGCAGAGCAGCTTCTAGTCCGACAAGGACAGCTGTGGGTCCCTGCAAGATCTCCAGCGTGGCAGGCTGGTCCCGCCATGCGGCCAGGAGAGCAGGCGGGTGGGTGCAGCGGACGGCGGAGTAAATAGACATAAGGATATACATAAAGCTAAACATTTATTACTTAAAGAGGCAAAGAGACAGAGAGACAGAGATAGAGAGACATAGAGACATAAAACATAGAGACAGAGGAGACACGTGTGCACACCGAGAGATGGGGATAGAAGAGAAGAGAGTTAAGATGGTGATGAGGGAGGTCAGAAGTGGCTGGGAGTGGGCGTGGCTTGCCCTTAAATGGACCAGAGCAAAAGAATAACACCATGTATCTCCAGTTACATGAGGTGAGACTGGTGTCCCAAGTGGGGCAGGATCCAGGGGGTTCCCAGACTGGGACCGGTATTCAGGGGATGGTATCTTTTTTTTTTTTTTTGTCTTCCCACTTCCTTTTTTTTTTTTAAAGATTTATTTATTTATTTATACAGTATCCTGCCTGTAGGCCAGAAGAGAGCACCAGATCTCATTATAGGTGGTAGTGAGCCACCATGTGGTTGCTGGGAATTGAACTCAGAACCTCCGGAAGAGCAGTCAGTGCTCTTAACTGCTGAGCCATCTCTCCAGTTTCCTGATGGTATCTTTTTTTTTTAATTCAAACATTTCTCATTTTACACGGGATGGTATCTTTATAGGCTGCAGTCTTGCCATCTTATTTGTCTGTCTTTCCCATTGTCTCCTCTGGTTTGTCTGTTTTACTGTTGTCTCAGTTGTCTGGATATCTGTCTGCTTTGTTTTCTCACCACTACTTCTGATTTCTCTTTCTCAGTTTTTTTGTTTTGTTTTGTTTTGGTTTGGTTTTTCAAAAAAGGGTTTCTCTGTGTATCTCTGGCTGTCTGGCCTGGAACTCACAGAGATCCGCCTGCGTCTGCCTCCCTGAGTGCTGGGATTAAAGGCATGTGCCACCACTGCCTGGCTTTTCTTGCTGTTCTTAAGTCAGCCTTGGTTTTTGATGTTGCTTCTCTGTGCTTGTCTCTGTCTTGTTTTAGGCTTTGAGATTATGGGGCAAACAATCTCAGCTTCTCTTACATTTCATCCTACAGGGTTTCAAAGATTTTCAAAGAAAAGTTTTATGATTGTGAGATATGGTCTTCTCAGGGATGATGCCTCATCTACCTCTTGGGCCCAGTTGATAGAGCAGAGGATGTCTGGGTCCCGCTGATGGGACATCTGGTGTGCCCCCCTCCCTACACCCTTGAAATTACAGTTGGAGGAAGTGAGGAAAGTTTTGTCTGACTGTTCTGAATGCATGAATGAGGCCACTTCATGCCTGTGTCTGACTGCTCTTAAGTGTATGAGCTTACTGTGTTCCATGTGTCTTGGTTACAGTTCAGCTGTTACTATTGTAGATAGCATCCTGGGCTCAGAATTTATCTTTGGACTTTCTGGCCATTGGATCTGATGTAATAGGGATTCAAATGTCATCTGGATATGAATAATATTAAAGTTGTTTTATGCTGTTCTGTTTTATTACAGAGCTGACTCTGAGATTGGCTTGCTTTTAAAGCCTCCATGACCGGGGTCAAAAACTGGCAGACAGGAAGAACAAGAGTGGAGAGGCTAAGAAATTATTGGCTTATAAATTACTATGTATGGTTAAAAATCTATTAATACTTGTAAAAAAAATGTTAACTTAAAACTTTAACACGGGGTTAATAATCAGGAGGCTACATCGGTAATCTTAAAACAAGAACCTAATCCATCAGTGTCTATAGTTCTGGGCAAATGTTCAAATGTGCTAACCTTGCTCTTAACCCTTTCAGTTCTGCTTCTGACTAACTGTTTTTGTTAACTGAAATATGCCAATCCAAAACATGGTTTTTATCCTTAAAGGCTCACCCTGAGAAAGTCTCAAGACTGCAATGGAATTCCAAACACCCAGTGTAATCACTGGCCAGCTAAAGTTAAGGCCACAACTAAACAACAGAAACTGGGATATTTCTGTGTTATGGTGTAATAAGATGGTGACCTTAAGCAGTCCTGCAAAGAACTTGGAGCAGTTTCTGAGCCTATGTATCATGACCTTTTGGGGTTAAAAGATCTTTTTACAGGAGTAGTTTAGGGTGGCCTACATGCCAGACATCTGCAGAACAATGCACCATAAAAAGTTAAAAACCATTGGTTTAAAGAATGTCTCTCCTTCCTTTAGGTTTATTCAAGTTTACAAAAACATTAAAGAATGTATATATAGCTGGGAGGTAGGTGGCTCACGCCTTTAATCCCAGCACTGGGGAGACAGAAGCAGGTGGGTCTCTGAGTTCGAGGCCAGCCTGGTCTATGGGAGTGAGTTCCAGGACTGACTTCATAGTTACTGAGAAACCCTGTCTCGAAAAACCAGAAAAAAAAACCAAACTGTATCTATAACCTCTTTGTTTTTGCTAACATTGTTAAGTTGTAACTATTCTGGTTAAACTGAGTCATACAAGAAACTATTATATTCTATAATGGCATACTATGTAAGGATCAGGAAAGTTTCTAGTCTCTTTATGGACTATGCTTAT